CATCATAAAACATTCGGAATTTTACATGGTCCTCTATTTTTCAAACATATGTCTCTTAATACGTATATAGATTATTTAAAATAGATAATATACAAAAATCTTGAATTTTATGACTACTCAGATCAAACCTTCAACAAGAGATTCAGTCTGGGGCGGTATAGAATCATCATATTAGATTTGTATACGTATTTTGTAATATTAATTATAAGCATTACTTATAAACACATAAATTATCCTTGAACTAAACATTTTTTACAATTGTTCATAATTTTTAGAGAAAAACTTAAAATTGACTTTCAGATCAAACCTTCAGCATGAGTCTCAGACTGGGGCGGTATAATGTCATCATAAAACATTCAACACATTAGATATTTCTCAATGAATTAAATAGATTTTATCGTAATATATAGATTATTCAAAATAGATAATAAACAAAAATCTTTATCATACAATTACTCAGATCAAACCTTCAACATGAGATTCTGTCTGGGGCGGTATAAGGTCATCATATTAAATCTGTATCTTAATTATAATAAGCTTTGTTTAATAACACGTCATATATTTTAAATTAGTTAAGTACTTATAATTTATAGAGAAAAATATTCAGATCAAACCTTCAACATGAGATTCAGTCTGGGGCGGTATAAATTCATCATATTATATTTATATAACCATATGCACAATCCAGATATTTAAGATTCTTTATGAACAGTTATAATTTTTAGAGAAACTTAAACTTAAATTGACATTCAGATCAAACCTTCAGCATGAGTTTCAGACTGGGGCGGTATAATGTCATCATGAAATAATTTAATTAAAAAGGTTACAGCATTTAAAAAGTTCAAATTATATTAAATATAGCATTGATTAAGAAGTGTAAATCAAATCTTTGATTCATAAATACAAAATGCCATAGCGGTTAGACAGATTTGTTTGTAATTACTTAGAACTATAAATTTAGTTAACATTATTATTAAACAAATACATTTGTGTTCATAAAATTTAAGACGTTCCTAAACTTAAAAAATTATTATTTACCTCTTTGCAATAATACGGTTGCGGACTCTTTTATTGACAATTACTCCAAGAGCGTGTTTGGATACATTGAATACTCGTCCAGTTTTACCGTGATAGACTTTGTAAGGCATACCCTTTTGTACAGCTCCATTTCCCTAAAAATTTAACATTTTCATTAAAACAGAACATAACAATTTTAATTATTCTAAATACCTATTATAATTCAATATATTATTTACCTTGATATCAACTCGATCGCCAACCTTATACACTTTCATGTATGTTGACAAAGGAATGACTCCATGCCTACGGAATCTTCTGGAAAACAAGTCCCTAGTTCCGTGCCTATAACCCTTAGAGTTGGTCATATTTGATTATCTGAAACGAAAAAAAATATGTAGAGGATCTATCAATCTAATTAAGGATTTTAAATATAAGCTAAGAAAAACATGTCAGTACATCAAATGTTAATTTGAATTCTATATACCTAGTAACATTAATTACTTAAATAACACAAAAATATACATACATCAAATGATTAAACTATTTAATAACTCAAATTACATTATTTTATTTAACATAACAGAAGAATGCTCAGACCAAACCTTCAACATAATATTCAGTCTGGGGCGGTATAATGTCATCAGTGCATTTTGAAAATAGATAATTATTAAGCAAGGCATCAAAAAGGGCAAGATTAAAATCAAGCAAAACGATTGTGAGGAGTAAATTTAACACAAATCATCATGTACATGTAGAAAGACATTTCAATTGTAATGATTGAGAGTTTCGGTCAACTTGCGCATGGACATGCACACAGTACGGACCCTAGTAATAGTCAATGGCATTGACATGGCGATTTGGACTTAATGCCATCGCCGTCGCAGGATCGTCGACGGTTGATTTGTTCGACCTGGTCATGCCGATTGCAATACCCAGACATTCGATTTACGAACGTAAAACGTACAGTGGCACATCGACTTCCAGTTCTGTACCGTCTGGGTGGTGGTTTGATCAATCAAGAGAAAAAGATGGTAGATCCATAACGAAATGGAGATCCAACGTAATATACTTGGATTTTGGGTACGAAGTATCCGAGATAATTAAGGACCCGAAACAAGAATAAACACCAAAACGATGCAACACTTATGGTAAATAATATTGTTCTTTTAATCCGAACGATATAAATAAGTTGTACTTACTTTAGGTTACGGTTTTAAAAAAAAAACGTCCTAAGACAGGAAACACTCGGACAAAACGTGTACGTGAAAGTAAAAGAACCGAACAGTGGAAGATTTCTTTCAGGTTATGTTATTAATTATTATTTGTTGTTTCTTATTCGTCGGAACAACCACGGTGATGAAACCATGGAACAATATATTTCGTCATGGAAGATGGAAGATGGAACATAGAACCATTTCTTGACCATTTTTCATTATCAGAAACATACGATATCGTGATGGATGATAACAATGATTAACAGTGGGTCGTTATAAATACTACCTATTACGGCACCATAATATTGTTATCATTATGTAGTTCGGGCATCAGGTACTTCTCCCGAAATTTCATGGAAAAAAAAAAAAAAAAAAATTAAAAAAAAACCAGCAAATCTCAAACAATTGTACCAACATAGAATCCAAAATTCCCTACAAATTATACGAATGGATATACCAACATAAAAAATTAATTTATATATTTTATGAAAAAATGTATTTTTATGTTCAAAAATTATCGTATAATAATTATGGTGCTGTTCAAATATTATTGTATACCTCCAGATCAGTATTGAGTATTTGAGATGTATTTTTGGATTAGGCAATAGACGTGGGACGTGTGTGAATAAAAAAAAATTGATATGTTAGTTTGGTTACAAGGCTGGGCAAGTTAATGT